TTGAAGCAAACAAAAATTGGCAGCTTGAAATTATTGCAACTAACAATGCCATTAAAACTAATGTAGAAAATGTACGGAGTAGAAAGCACAGATATGTATGTAAAAAAGTAAGGGTCAAAAAAATGTATACTTGAGTAAAGAACAGATACCTGAAAAAACTACTTAAGTACTGTAACTAAGTATTTATACTACTACTACCTCCAACCTCTGCAGGGACATAACATTGCAGCAATAAATCAGAGAACGTTTGCTGAGCTACAAGTCTTCTCTTAAAAGGGATTAATATCACTGATTTGAATTCAGTGACCAATCGGTAAACAAGACCAACCAGGAAGCAGTAGCAGAGAGTTAGAATGGCAGCGGCAGAGAGAGAGATTTGCCTGGCTTACATTTCCATTGCATCAGGCTTATGTAAGACAACAGCCCAAACTCCAGCTGAGAAACATTTTAGGATGGAGCTGTGAGGTAAATTGAGCTGCATGTAGCGGTGCTGAAAGGGTCTGAGAATTTGAAATATTTCACAGCAGCACTCAGATATTTTTCAATCAGCATCATCTCCACCCTCCTGACAACAACACTAAAGCCGGGTCTCCCACATATTTTCACCAAAGTGTTCCATGATGCAATGAAAGAGTTGTTTTGTACACGCCTTGTACTCAGTGCTGCACGTGTTAGTAACAACCAGGAAGTACAGTAACGGCAAGAGCATCGCTACATCAACTACAACAGTTTTTTTCTGTCTAAATGCCTCATTGTTTTGAGTGTGAAATTAGCAGCTAAATTCTAAAATTAGATACAAAGCTTTGAAAAATAGTGACACCTTTTCTGAAAAAACTGACATGTCATCAAACTTATACTCAGTTGCTGTATTGTAAATGTACGTCATACGGCTACTTCAGTGCACCTCCTGCACCCACTCCCTCCCTGCCACAGCTGTGAGGAATGGGGCAGGACAGCAAGATGGTAGAATAAGATTGCACTGTTTTGGCTGTGCTGAGTCTGGTGGCGTGTTTGAACAGAGAGCTGGCAAATAAAACTAAGCCTGCTGTTGGATAACTCTGGGATTTGAAGGCTGATCAAGAAAAAAAAAGAAGACAAGACTGGTTACTTAAAGACATGTTTCTACAACACTAGATGAGTTTGCAGTGGCTCCTTGACTACGAGAAACATATCACCTGGGCTTTAAATATCTGAACCATATCTGAACTCTAACAGAGCAATTTAAAGAGATAGTTGCGCTTATATGCTTATATAAAAGTGTATGAGTCGCTCATTAGTCGTGATACTGACACATGGACAGTAGCTCGGACTACACAACCTCAGGAATATTAAAGCAAGGAGGCATCCTGTAAGTCTCAACGTAACCACAGCAAATAGAGCTAGTTGAAACAAACATTTTAAACCATCAATCAGCACTTATTCATCCCACAAAGATTGATTGATTCTCTTCACAGACCTCATCCATATCAACTGTTATGTTTGTTCAATGATACAGTTCATAAGGCCCCAGCTCCTCCATCAAATATCATTACATTACATTCATGTATTCAGTGAATCAGTGTCTTGCTCAAAGACACTTCTGCGTGTATGTAACTAGCGACCTCAGCACAAATGGCCGACACAGTCGGTCAGCTGAGCTACAGGTGTCCCTCTCCCTTTCGAAAGAGTAATTCGAACTAACCCTTTGAGACTAATGCGATCGAAGAGATTCAACATCCCTCAATATTCTAAAATATCTAATACACACTGTTCCAGTCCCATATCATCCCATGAGAAACAGTCACACTCACAATCATGGCAGCCCTGTGGCTTTGAGACTTTAAGCGGCCCATAGGTATAAGAATGAGTGCATTAACACAGTAATGCCTCAACCTGTCATCCTCGAAATGCATGCTAGGATTGACTCACGCTGCCTACTACAAGTGGGAAATGTAGAGGTAAAAGTAATGAACATATGATTAAATCAAGAATAACTGAAAGCTCTCTCTGAAACAGTCTCTCTAGTATTTTAGTTTGAGCGTGTGTGTGCTGCAGAGACTCTAGTATACCCTTGTCCCACCTGACTGCACCAGAACACGACTTGGTGAAGAGGAAAGCAGACACAGAGCAAAGAGGGAGAGAGTTGGAAAGCACACGTGGACTAAAGCAGAGGACAGACAAACACTGCTGCTGTTTCACATCCTCAGGGGCGCTTGTTTCCAAAGTCTTTCAGAGTGTCTCTCTCACAATGAAGCAGATGTCATGACACTTTATATAATATTACATAAGTCTGATGCCTCAGGCCATTAGCTTCCTCACAAAATCCTTTATGGGAGCAGCAAACTGAGATTGTGGGAGTTATTGGGTTTTGTACAAACCAAACAAAATAAATCCCTATCTCAATTCAATTTATGTGCTGCATTCAAATGTCAAACAACACTTTAATCTGACTGAATCGTTACTGTCTACTGAATTCTTTTGTTAAAAGTAGGGAGAGGCTGGAGGGAAGGAACAGCGATTGCTCAGCAACTTTTACGTAATTAATTTAATTCACACACAAAACATTCCACATACCTAAGAAGGACATTGAGTGAGTGAAGACCACAATAGCTGGCCAGATCACCATGGAGCCCCTGATTATTGTAGGACAGACCTGACAATCTGCACACATCCTGTCCTACTGAATCTGTCAAATCCCCCCATCTGGGCTCAAAACAGCTACAAACACGCATATATTTGCAACTACTGTTTGCTCAGGTGCACTTCAGCAATCAGAAGAGACAGAGACAGCACACACAGAGCTGAAGACAGAAATGAGGACACCCACTGAGCTAACAGACTGCCAAGCCTCAGGTGGCAGCAGCTAGAGGTGTTGCCGGGGTGGATTGGGTTAGATTTAAATACTAAAGCATATTATGATTATGACAACAGGGCAGTCACTTGGCAACAGAGTATGTATGTAATGTTGCAATGAAAGTCTCCATAATTGGGTCTGAGCTAAGAAATCAAACAAATTACATCACTCTAAACTAACCAAAATAGCTCCTAACAGCTCAGACAAACATACCAAAGTGACGATGGCTGTCAGTCTAGCTGTAGTACAAAATTTGATGAAGAAGGTACAGGCCGACTGGAAGCTGTTGTTTGGTCTTAGTGTAAACCGGCACTGAAAAGAAGAAACTGGGGCTAAGGAGTGGCCCTACAGCCTTAGAGAGGAAATAGAGGGTGGAGGATAATATGTGGTAAAGGTTCTGATAATAGAGGAGAGAATGAGCATTAAATAATGCAGTAACTTGATGACACCGTGTTAGAATACAAAACTGAAAGCTGAAAGAGAGAGTTTGTGACTCAAAGCAGGACGTCAGTCATGTAAAACCTTACGGCCTTAAAATAATTTAACCAGCATCAGCAGCAGAGTTTCTTTAACCCTTTCCGATGTAGACACTAGTATCTCTGTTTCTCATCTGGTACTGTGCCAAGGATTAAGGATTTTGTCTTAAAGCTGCATTAGGTAACTAGATTGTTTTTTGTATTTACTTTCACTCTATCCTGATAGCAGTACATGAGACGGACAATCTGTGAAAAAAAAAACAAAAAACGTTCCTCTGGTTTCTCCTAGTGCTCCGAGTCAAGAAAGATAGTTGACCTTGGAATGAGTCTCAATAATCAACCATCTTTCTCGGCTCTAATTGGTTGTTTTCGTTCAGGCGCAGTGGATTCTTGCAAATGCCATTAGGAGGAACCAGAGGAACCTGATTTTTTAAACTGATTATCTGTCTCATGTACAACTGTCAGAACAGAGTGAACGTTTCAGCAAATATGGCAAAAAGTAACACTGGACAAAACAGACCTGTATCTGGAAAGAGCCAATGGTATCCAAGTTTATGGAAATGTATACAGATCTGTATATCTTATCATATTAAATACACCTTAACATCTGGGATACTATCATATTTTGGTGTAATTATTCCAGAGTTTTTTTTTTAAGTACCTACTGCAGCTTTAAAGTCATTATAACGCTCAAAATTTGCAGTTCTCCTCATTTCTAGAGAAAATTGAGAAAATCAATCAATCTTTTAGGAAGGCAGACTCCCATCAGCAAATGTTAAATAGCCAATAATTGAAAGTATTAGCTGAGGAAATTTGTCATAAATCAACAATAATAATTCAGTAAAGGAGAGTTTCGCTGAATCATTCATCAATTTTGAAGTTCAAAGACCAGTAAAGCAAAAACATGAGGATGGCTAACCATGCTAGCAGCTTTGTGAGGCACAGTGCATTGAACCAAATGCTAACATCAGCATGCTAAAAAGCTCACAATGTCAACGCTAACATGCTGATGTTTAGCAGGTATAATGTTTACCATGTTCACATTCTTAGTTTAGCATGCTACGAATTAGCACCAAACAAAACCACTACATTAACAGGCCTTTTTCACAGCACTTGTCATAGTAGGAAAAGCACAAGTGTTACTAACAATATTACCGATGTCTGTCAGCAGGCATAATACTCGGACCCTGAAACTGAAGCAGCTAAATGGAATTCAGCCATTGTTAATTGTATTATTTACATCTGTGTAAAAGGTGTACAAATGGTCTTCTGTGAAAAGGCCTATTGCATGTGAATGCAGCTTCCTTGTGGAAATCTCCACCATCTAACACCTGTGAGTGTAAGAATACCTAAAAATACCGTTGCTCGAAGGTGAAACATCAGCTGTTTGTATCTAATTCACTACTTGTCCATGAATGCACAAAGCCAGGTGGGTCAGAGCTTGAGCTGAGAGCAGAAGCTGTATTAGCACATGGTTGAGGTCGTTCTCCTACCTGCACCTGAGCCGGGCCTGCGCCTCCTCAAAGTGGTTCCTGAGGAACAGATCCAGGGCAGCCATGCAGTCCTCCAGAGCCAGTGACAGGTCTGACCGCGAACACCTGCACACCCAAAACATAGACTCTAGATGAGAAAAGAAGTAATGAAAATGCATTCTCATCTAATAAATAAGCCAAAGTGGGGCTCTGAGAATTTCAAATCTCTTATATAAATGTGTTTGTGTCATTGAAGTGGTAACTTTAAGTGCACTTCATTTTTAAGTGAAAGTTGATTCATATTTGAAGATCACAAAAAGATCCACATCACCACTCGGCTCTGCCACCCCACAGTATTTCTGTCTCTTTTAATACTGCAGTGACCCTGTTTTTTTCTACAGCAACAAAAGCAGTCTCCAAACACTGACCTACAACAGAGTCTGGGATCTTGATATTATCTCAGTTTACTTGTGTATTCCTGCTGTATTCAGCCAGTTTACTCCACCACCACCTCACCAGATGAAGAGAAACAGCCTGACAAGCAAACTGGCACGAGAGTGTACTTCGATGTTAGTGTTATTGCTGTCTGCATTACATTGCACATTAGCTTAAATCATAGTACTTGTAAAACCTTCCGCTTTCATGAAAAATACAAGCTCAGGGAGCAGTTTTGAATTTGATTATTAATGTTTCCTCCTGTAAATACAACTCACTGTTGTAAGCGATTTTTGCGACAGCGAGGCATTACTCTTAATGATAATGATAATGTTGCTGTGTATTCAGACTTCATTACACGGTGCACGTGACCCTCGCATGACGAGTACATAGTGGGTGAAAATCGTGAATCTTACACTCCCCTTCATCTCAAGGGTCCGTCCTCTTTGATTTCACTTACTGTACTAATAATGGATCTTTTTAAATGTGAGTTTCAAAACAGGACACAGCATGCAAAAAACACATTAACGTTCAGAATAATGATCTGAATGAATAAAGCTGATTAATTTCTTTCATTTCGATGATGACTTGTTTGTTTTGTACTTTCTAGATTCAGTTATTTTCTATTTATGTTCATTTGCATCATGAGATGCTTGAAAAAGTGCCATTTTTTGAATTGCTCATTTGTTTGTTATGTTATTGATGTGTTTTCTGTAAAAAAATAACTTTATGGAAGGAATTTTAATTTTGTTTCATCCTGAAAGGCAGTTTGGTGTCATGCTTTGACCTTCTAGGCCACTGTATTGATCACATGAGTATAACAGTTCTCTATTTACATTTACCAGCTGCAGTCAGATTTACCTCTTTAGCCGAGAGTTCAGATATCAGCAGCAGACACCATGCAGAAGAATAGGAGAGCAGAAACTTAGCAAACTACAACTAATGTGTATAACAGCAGTGACTAATAGACGGCATTCACTTTACATTCCTGCCCATTAGAAACACAGAGGAACACACACACACACACACGCACACGCACATGCACACTAAAGGAGCATGCACACTGATGCAGCTCCGACTAATGACTTGCGGGTGACTGCTGTGTTCACCATATGACCAGCAGCAAGCTGAGCTTCCTGATAACAGCAGGAGACTCACAATGACGACTGCTGTCAGAGAAACAAGTTCAGCATACGTATGTCTTTAGGTTGCCGCACAATCAAGATTTCCAAAAACATTCAGGCGCTACAGTTAGAGTTTTATGTGTTCAGATCAAGGCAGAACAGACAAAAAACAACAACAATTTAATAAGTGTATGTGGGACAACTTGTATTGTGTAGTAAATCAATTATACATGTATATTACATAACAGAGCACTAATACAAGTGATACAGTAACAATTGTAACAACAAACTAATTGAATGCCTACTAACATTAAGACAATAAGACATAAAGGGATCAATAAACATTAATAATGCCAGGAGGATATTAAAACAAGGAAGCATAAGGTATACTGTTTATGTCACTGATTTAAAAAAAAATGCTGCAGAGTCACATGTCTTCTTATAGTGGCCACTGACTAAATCCAACCAATCCAACCGGAGCTTTCTCTGCTGTGTCGTAACAGCTTTCTCTCTGTATGAATAGAGGTGCAGAACAACAAACTTACAGATGCTTTTAAGCACAGCTATCAGCACCAGTTTTATCAGTTATGTCACTACTCGAGTGCTGACTGAGCATTTACTAGCCCACACGTATCACATTATTCAGTCTTCTTAAAAACCTTATAACCTTGCCAGAGTCTAATCACCTGTTAGATTCAAAGCGCAATCATAAACTAATTAATAATAATAAATGTCAATAATTGTTACTGGCATTTTGGAGAGATTGTTTACATGTAACAGACGAGCAGGTACATGTGCATGCAGCATAACAGCTCTCATCAACCTTCCCACTGTCCTGATTGCTTAGACTACGCAGGAGCAAATAATTAAATCAGCCAACTAACACACTGATGGCAGCATTAATGAGGGTGAACAATCAGTGGCTTCATCATTTCCTTATAGCTGCTAACCAACTCAACTGGTCCTGACTGACTGGAAAACAGGGTTTTGTCAGGTTTATATCTTTAAGACAATCTGAAGCCTGAGGGCACTGAAAAGAAAAGGAACCAGCTCTCATTAAGTGACACTACCCTTTATAAGGAGGGAATAACTGACGATTGTATGCAAGAATGAAAAGGCATGACAACCAGCACAATGAGGAGAGTCTGTTAGCTTCAGGATGTGCATACCATGCATTGTCCCAATAATTTAACTGAACTTCAAGTCAGCTGAAATTCTGGGTTGATTTCTCTGGAGAGCAACTTGCACAATGATCATTATCAGTGAGGCACAGAAACATACACACTCACAGTGTTCAGCATTTAACACACAGTCACAACTCATTGTCATACATTGCATGTGCTTCTCACACACACACACACACACACACACACACACACACACACAGAAACACACACCAGGAGTGACGAAGCATTTGCTTATCGACTGAATTTCGCCACATTTGTTCCAGCTGGTTTAAGATGTTCAGAGACTGCATACACAAAAGAGCTGAGCTGTTCCTAAAATAAACCGAGCCAGTTTGTCCACATGCCTGAATCTCACAATTAGAACACACACACACACACTTACAGAGCATCCTATAGAGGCCGACTGAATGACAAACACACACCATCCAAACACGCAGTTTGTAGTATCTTACCCGTTTGACTGAGTCTCTTCCTCTTCTGACATTTTCATCTGGCAAAGTGTGTTTGTGTGTGAAAGAGAGACGGAGAAAGAGGACAGAGATAAAGAAAATTGCAGAAGTCAATGTGAGCCTAGGGCCTTTCCAGCAGTGCAGTGTAATGGTCTGTATCTCAGCAGCAGCAGCAGCAGCAGCAACAAGAGCAGAAGCAGCAGCAGAAGGGCAGGCGGGTGAGAGAGAGAGAGAGAGAGAGAGAGAGAGAGGGTAAAGACTGAAGGAGAGAGGAAGGGAGGGAGA